TAACATGTTCGGGTAAAGTGGCTTTACTCCAAATCTCCAATCAGGATATATGCTGAGCGTGTTTTCCTCTTGTTTATAATTTTTTTTTTTTAAATCGATCGAACCAATTTTTATTCGTGTGTTTCACGAATATCTACGAGTTCTAAACATTTATTCAATATTTATTGTTATTTCTTTATAAATGTAAATCGATTTTAAGCAACCCTAATTTTAACACGTATTGGTTCTATCAACTTTCATTTTATTTCACGAGTGTAGATCTCAACTCTATTAATCATATTTATGAGTTGTTACATCGCATTACCCTCGTTGTCACATGTGCAAGTAGAGTGTTTAGCCGTTGTCCTTGACGGTACCGAGATTTCTCATTTCTATCGATCAATCCCCAGGAAATTGAATATGCTTTGACTAAGTATTCTAGTTAATAGAATGACTAAATGCATGAATACAAGATTACACTAGAATTTGACCAATTATTCCATTTTTTTCTTTAAATGTCGTTTACAAATTCTTCAAAGGCAGTAGAAAATGTGGTTTGAATCAATGATCAAGAAATCCCTTCACATCCAAATTTACTCAATATCGCCAAAATATTGACTATTGGTCACTCGATTGGTTAGAAGCTTAACACTTTCCACAAACTCATCAACATAAATTCTTGGAGCTTTCATGTTATAAATATTATATAATTATGCTAGGCTAAAACTCGCAATAGTCAGCAATAATGAAAATAAGCCCCCTCTTGAATAAATACGTAGTATACGTACGAGACTAAGAGACTCAAATAATCATACTCCCGATCTTAAGTTAAAATTGTGATTCTTTAGTGTCAAAACAATGTTCTTTTATAATATTTTAAATTATATATTGGAGAAAATACTTTTTCAAAAATATTGATACACAAAAATGTATGCCTCTTTGGAAGAGTAATATGAAAAAATGTATGCTTCTTTGGGAAGAGTAATGTAATAGTTTTTACGAATAAAATTTTGCTTCTTTGGGAGCAACATAATATTATTAAACAATGCTGATATGAAAATTATACTGTCTAGAGTGTTAACATAATATTTTTTTTAAAAAAAAATCACATCTTATAAAATTATGCTCTTCGAGAGCAAGAAAAATTCTATTAGAATAATGACATAATATATAAATGTGCTTAAAACCCTCGTTATTGTTTTATAAAAGACAATGTTATAATACCCACACAAACTAGGTGTAATAAAACTTTCTTACATAAGACCTTATTATCTAACTACCTCTTAAACACCAACTTTTTCTTCCTTTTCAATAACTACAGGGATTTTTTGATGTTTAATTATAAGAACTATATTAATTGAATTCTAAATTGCGTCTCTTTAAGAAAAGCACAATTAAAAATATTTTTCTCTATAATTATTGTGGAAATTACACCCAATCATATATTTCAAGATCTAATTTCAAAAATCATATATGAAGTTTATTTGTATACAAGTCAGATATATATATATATATATATATACCACTATGTTCTATCTATTTTCCCTCACATGGACCGCTGTGCACTTCGCTGTGAAGCCACTCCGCAAGCTGCTATGTTGTCTTCATCTTCCGTCTTTCTCTTCGTCGTACGTCACGTGGCCGTCGCTTTCCTGTCTTTTTCTTAGTTGCACACCACATCGTCACTCTCCCGCCACCAAGCACAGAAAAGCCACACCATTGTGCGGCAATGATTTGAGCACGCGCACGAAGCGGTACATTCAGATTGTCGTTGTGCGGCGTTGATTTGAGCTCCAAGAGGGGTTTACAGTGTCGCTTGCTCAACCGGTGTTTTTGTTTCAGATTGTGAGGTGGCGGTGTGGCAGCGAGGTGGTGGTTATTGTTGATACATGTGATGGTGGCAGTACTCAACGACAGATTTGGGGATTTTTTTGGCCGGGGTTGTGGATTGATAGGCCGGTGGTGGTGGTGGTGGTGTTTGAGATGATGGTTTTGCTTCGGGGATGGTGGTGGTGGTTCTGACGACGATAGTTTCGATGGCGATGCGGTGGTAGCAGTAGTGGGGTGGTGGTCACAAATGATTTGATTGTTTGTAACTAATAAATTGGTTAATGTGTGACCAATGAAATAAATAAATTGTAACTAATAAATAATGTGTAACCTAAAAAATTGTTAATTTGTGACCAATAATTTGATACTTTGTGACCGAAAATTAATTTGTGACTAATTAATTAGATATTTTGTGATCATAAAATAAATTGTGATCTGTGACCAATAAATAATATGAGACCTATTAATTTGATAAATTCATGCGATCTATGAAATTTTTGATTTGTGACCTATAAATTTTTTTATTGCAATCGAAAAATAATTTGTGACCAATTAATTTATAATTTATGATCAAAATGTATAGTTTTGTGACCTTAATATGTTTAATTAATAAAATATATGTTAATTTCATTAGTTTATAAATAAAATTTAAAAAAAATCTGATTCTTAAAATTTTAAACTTTGTTTCTTGGTTTTGAAATGTGTCGTACTTAATCTCTTATATATGAATTTTTCTCTTAATTATTAGTGCCGTTTGTCCTAATTTTTTAAGTTTTGGGCCAACAAATATAGGACACAACCCATAGATTTGGTCGGACCCGAATCCATTTACAGAAGGGAAAAATTCACAAATATGGCATTAACTATGAACAATTCAAAAATCAGGTTTTAAATTTAATTAATACAAAAATCATGTATTTATTTATGAATTAAATATATTTTATTAATTAAATATAATAAAATCACAATTATATAATTAATGGTCACATGTACATAATCATATGTCACAACTTATTTATTGATCACACATTAAATAATTAATTGGTCACAGAGTAATTCGATATCACAAATAAAAAATTTTATAGGTTACATTTTATTTTATTGGTCACAGATAAAAAAAAGTATATGTCACAATTTATCAATTAGTCATATATTTTCAAATTTGTTGGTCACAATTTATTAAATTTAAGGTCACGATTTATTTTATTGGTCACAGATAAAAAATTATAGGTCACAATTCATCAATCCGTCACATATTTTCAAATTTGTTGGCTACAAATTATCGAATTTTAAGGTCACAGGTAACCAAATAGTGAGTCACATACGACCGCCACCTACACTGTCGCCACTGCCGTCACGACATCACCACCAACAAAATCGTCGCCACCAGATCCAATCGATCGCTAACAAAAACCATGACAATCAACTCTATCAGATCTCCAGCCACCAACAACCACCACTCCGTCGTTGCCACCAGATCCAACGCCAACCCCATAACCGTCGTTGCCGCCACCACCACCACCACCACCACCACCACAACATCACCACCAACAAAACGTCATCACCAGATCCAACAAAAAAAATTCTAAACCCGTCACCACTTCTATCCCCATCGCTGCCACCAGATCCACCACCATCCCCGTCTCCAACAACAACAAAGATATCACCACACCACAATAACCACCCAACACAAACTCGCCACCACCTCCAACCCCGTCGTCGCTAGCTAAGCCACCAGCCCACCAACAAAATCATCAAGCCCGCCACCACACAAACACCATCCAACTATCAAAACCAAAAAAAAAAAAAAAAATCAAGCAGAGCCACGAGCAGCAACGTTCACAGTGTCGCCATCTCCAAACCGTACCATAGTCGCTACCGCGAAAATCATGGGCCACAGAAAATTGTCTGAGACCACAAATCGAAGAAGATTTCATATCGCCGCCCTTGCACTTCAGCACACAGAGGCTCCAATCTCTTCATTAAGCAGCACAATGTTGCTTAAGTGGTGGCGATGGCTCGGTTCCCGCGGCAGGTGCTCCAACGACGACGACGTCTGACAGAGAGGAAGACATGAGAAGGAGATGA